ACAAAAATGTACAACCCAAAATTTCACAACGTTTAAAACTATTAAAACATCAATAAAACAAACAAACAAACAAACAAATGTCTGTCTGAAACACTCCTCCTTCTCCTGGCTAGCTCCTTCAGATCACAACTTATAGTTTACTACCTTAGGAAAGCTTTCAATGATGTCCAAAAATCTGTGTTAGATTTTATTTGTTTTATTTTTAACAGACACTTAACTAGCACTTACTAGCCACTTTGTAAATATTAACTCATTAGATTCCTACGATAATAATCCTAGGAGGTAAATACCATTATTGTCCCTATTTTACAGGTAAGGAAACAGAGGTACATAACTTGCCCAAGTCTGGAGACAGTGAGTGGCAGAACTAGGATTCTAATGTAGATATTTTGGTTCCAGAATCCATGTCCATAACCACTACACAATGCTGCCTCCTAGGTACAAGATGTCCCTTCTAGGTATTTCTATATTACTCTTTACCTATGAAAACATTGTGACATATTTTAGTTACTTGTCTGCCAAATTTTCTAGCCTGTGAGCTCCATAAAGGATTATCTCTATCTTATTTATGTCATGTCCTTACATGTGTAGTTTTAAAAATATATTGGTGAAAAAAGAAATGACATTACTAATTATAATTAACTGAATTCAACAAGTATTTACAAGAGTGGAGGAGAGAATATATTTGCAATTACTCAAGAAATGGCCTAAATAAAATATTACTTCTTCAGTTCAGAACATTTTAATGGATTCTTCTTGACAGGCATTCAAAACATAGCTAATTAAATGTACTATATGGAGTTTCTTTGGATCCTGATTCAAACAAATCAACAGTAGAAAACATTTTGGGGAAAACCAAACACAGACTGTGTATAAATTATATCAAGGAATTATTGGTAAATTTGTCGATTGTGATAGTGGTATCATAGTTATATTTTAAACGTTATATTTTAAAAGTCTTTGTCTATTAGAAATACTTAGTGAAATATTTAGAGGTAAAAACATATGATTCTGGGATTTGCTTTAAAATACTCCAGATCTATTCATGAATTACTTGTTCAAAGAGAAAAAAATTCTTACTGAAAAAGGATTCATAGAGACACATGGTGGCGCTGCAGGATAAGATGAAAATGATGCATGGTCAACACTGTGGGCTCTATTATTCAGGGGAAGAGAGAACATCCAACCCACCGAAAAGGAAGGTACTAAAGGAGCTTCTTCTACAGAGCTGCTGGAGGGCTATTTACCCACCAGGGGGTTCTTAGTAAAAAATCAGGGCTTCAGCTTCCAAAATTGGCGCTGAATTTAAATTTTTCCACAAAAGAAGTTGCCTGAAGGAAGCATGGCGATCAGAGGGGCGCTCGCTCTGCAGAAAAGGCAAGTCCTGATTCTCTTTGTTTTGCTGGGATTGTCTCAGGCGGGTCTTGAATCTGTGAGCTATTCTGTGGCAGAGGAAACAGAAGTTGGCTCTTTTGTGGCCAATCTGGCAAAAGATCTGGGGCTTGGGGTGGAGGAGCTGTCCTCAAGGGAAGCCCGGGTAGTGTCTGAGGATAATAAAAAGCATTTGCACCTCGATTTGCTGACTGGGGATTTGGTCCTAAATGAGAAACTGGACCGAGAAGAGCTGTGTGGCTCCACCGAGCCCTGTGTGCTGCATTTTCAGGTGGTATTGGAAAACCCTTTACAGTTTTTTCGGGCTGAGCTGCATGTCAAAGATATAAATGATCACTCCCCTGCATTCCTGGACAAGGAAATACTTATTAAAATACCAGAAAGTACCACTATCGGAACCACATTCCTAATGGAGAGCGCCCAAGATTTGGACATAGGAAGCAATAGTCTCCAAAACTACACAGTTAGCCCCAATTCTCACTTCTACATTAAAGTTCGAGACAGCAGTGATGGAAAAATATACCCAGAACTGGTCCTGGACAGAGCGTTAGATCACGAGGATAAGCCGGAGCTCAGATTAACACTCACAGCACTGGATGGTGGATCCCCACCCAGGACTGGGACAACTTTGGTTCTCATCAAGGTCTTGGACGTCAATGACAACGCCCCTGAATTTCCTCAGAGGCTCTATGAGGTGCAGGTCCTGGAGGACACACCCGTTGGCTCCTGGATTATCACCATCTCTGCTAAGGATTTGGATGCAGGAAATTATGGGGAAATATCTTACACATTGTTGCATGCATCAGAAGATATTCGTAAAACATTTGAAATCAATCCAATATCTGGGGAAGTACATTTGAGATCACGCCTGGATTTTGAAGTAATACAGTCATACACTATAAATATTCAGGCAACAGATGGTGGGGGTCTTTCAGAAGAATGCACTCTTCTGGTTAAAGTAATAGATATAAATGACAATCCACCAGAAGTGACCATGTCGTCAATTACAAAGATAATTCCAGAGAACTCCTCAGAGACCCTTGTCGCTCTTTTTAGTGTCCGAGATCAAGACACTGGGGACAACGGGAGGATAGTTTGCTCTATTCAAGATGACCTCCCCTTTTTCCTGAAACCAACCTTCAAGAACTTTTTTACTCTGGTTTCTGAAAAAGCACTGGACAGAGAGATGAGAGCCGAGTACAACATCACCATCACTGTCACCGACTCGGGGACACCCAGGCTGAAAACAGAGCACAGCATAACCGTGCTGGTCTCCGACGTCAATGACAACGCCCCCGCCTTCACCCAAACCTCCTACACCCTGCGGGTCCGCGAGAACAACAGCCCCGCCCTGCACATCGGCAGCGTCAGCGCCACAGACGCAGACGCAGGCGCCAACGCCCAGGTCACCTACTCGCTGCTGTCGCCCCACGACCCGCACCTGGCCCTCGCCTCCCTCGTGTCCATCAACGCGGACAACGGGCACCTGTTCGCCCTGCGGTCCCTGGACTACGAGGCCCTGCAGGCCTTCGAGTTCGGCGTGGGCGCCACAGACCGAGGCTCGCCGGCGCTGAGCAGCCAGGCGCTGGTGCGCGTGCTGGTGCTGGACGACAACGACAACTCGCCCTTCGT